TAAAATTTTACGCATTCAAAACATGGTTTTCAGGAAAGTTGATTCTGTATTGTAAATAACAAAAAGCTGTTTCAGCATTAGCAAAATAATCAATGTACATATATGTGGTGAATATACCGACATGTATTTGCGCATGCAAGCCTAAACTGATATTACAACGTATATTTACATATATAATTTATCAATTTATATCTTTTTTTAGCAAAGAGAAATTTAACATCCATATACTTACTCTATTTACATTGACAATATGTGAAGGGATTTTCCGAAAAAATACAAATCATACAAGTCTATATACCATCCGGACTACCTTCAAAAGTACTTCAATATTTCGTAGACCTACCATAAAGGAGAACATGATTAAGATCTGTGTCTACGGCATCCTATGCAGTTGTGGTAATAAATATAAAAGTGAACTGGTATTCTAGTGGTTAGTTTTTCCAATTCTTCTAGTTCTACATTTGATGACTTTTGAAAAGAGCGTTCGTAGGTTGGAAATATAGCATGGGCCGTTCTTAGTATTGTATGTGTGCATCGTGGGATGACTTTTCCTTCAATGCATTTCAGTAAGATATTTTCCTTTTCGAAATGAATTGGCAGATATCGAGAGTTCTTTTTAATATTCTTTATTTGTTGTCTGCCTGAAATCAACCAACAAAAACGATCTAATAAATTCTCATCATAACACCAAAACAATATCAGTATAATCATCAGATTCTATTTAAGAGCAAGCAGAATTTGCAGCCCTCAATATTTACATGAAAATGCGAAATATAGTGAAAAAACTTTAAAGCTTCTTTGGTACAACTAATTATTTTATATTTCTTGTGAAACAAAAGACATAAAATATTCTAAGATAGAAAATTGGAGATTCCTGACAAACCCAAAGAATCAAACAAATTATATTGTCTTATCAATTAAACTATAAAATCTACAATTAGAAAGAATCTCACTAAACTCAACATAAAATTGGTTAAGTCTTCTTCATGGGACGTGTCTATTAAGGACGTAGACGATCATGCCCTCCACCTCTTTCTGTCCCTTCTGCCATCTACTTGCTCAAGCCCATTAAGTATGTAACGTATTTCTTTCACATATACCGCTTTCCTTCTATCCGTCCTGTGTGTATCAGGTTTTTCAAGCCCTCATTCCTCATTACTTATTCTAGAAATTTCCGCTGCCTCTTCTTGATGTTAAGTATAAGTTTCCTCTTCATTTCCATTCCTCCGAAACCGCTTTGTTGCTCACTTGCTTCGTCTATGGCATTTCTAGCATCCTTTTGTATGATCACAATTCCTTTGCTTGACGTCTTTTCTTCTTTGAGGGGATTATCCAGCATTCTCTGCCATACATAAGGACAGATCTCACGTAACCGTTCAGTGCTTTTTCTTTGTTTCTAACGAAATTTTTCTGTCTCGGAACAGACTGTTTAGCTTTTGGAATGTGTTTTTGTCCATCCCAATACGTCTTCGGATCTCAGTGTCGCACTTTCTATCCTCTGGGAGAACACTTTCCAGATAATTAAATTTCTGTATCTGCTTGATTTTAGTGTCCCCGGCCTATAAGTTGCATTTTCGGCACCTCAATTTGCTTTGACCATGCATTTTGTCTTATTGTTGATGCTTAGTCCCTTCTTGCTCTTCATCTGTAGGAGCTTTTGTAGCTTCTATTACGTGTCTGCTATCAGCACTGTGTCATTTGCATATCTTATGTTATTTAGATTATGGCCGCCAATGATGAATCCTGGTAGGATTTCCAGTTCTCTCAGAATGCCTTTCTGTATAGGTTGAATAAGTCCGGTGAGAAGACACATCCTTGCCTTACACCCCTTTCTATATTTATATATCCATTGAACTAATTTTTATCCAGTATAGATTTTTGATTATTATAATGTCCTTCTCGAATATATCAAGGTTGCTGAGCAGCCGTAATATATAATTGTGGCGTATTTTGGCGAACGCCTTTGCGTAGTCCATAAAACACAGGTACACATCCTTCTGCATTTGTATTGCTCTTTCTGATAACATTCTGAGCATAAATCTCCCTATCCCAGCTTTAGAACTTGTGCCAATATTTGTATTTTTATAGAAATATGTATATATTTACAGCGTCTAATGTAAATCAAGCAAATCGATTGCTCATTTTTTTTTGCCCGATACCGTATAAAGAGGAAATATATATTGGCCATTGTTTCAAGCGCCAAAGTTAATAAATATATGATGTCTGGTCTTAACAAATTTGATTACTTAAGTAATAGCTCTTATTGTTGATACCTGAGAACGTGAGGCAGTTAAAAACAATCAGCTTTCCAATATGCTTGTTAACACAATTTTCTCTTATTTCAGTACAGTGACATAGCGAGATATATTTTGTCAAGATGCATAGAGATGGACCAAATACAGGTGAAATTAACTTCCTTCTCTCCACAGTTAACTATTCCGATAATTAACACTAATTGACTAAAGTGGAATTAGAATTTCAATGAATTCATGTCAGTAGCCATTTTGCCTGAAAGGGATGAGCCTTGAAGCTAAAATCTCCAATCTTATTCAATATTCCTTTACTCGTGTTGCTTAACTTTTTTTTTGTAATATATTCTCTGACTTTTTCTGTCATTTCATCTCAAATAATTTAAAACGAACTCAAGTCAAAAAGAAATTTGATAAAAGCGCGAAGCAGATCATGAAACAAACCTGGTTCCACTCCAAAAAATTGAGACCATATGGAGGATGTTATTATTTTCAGTAGAATTTTCCTTCACTTTATTAAATATTAGATTGAGTCATAAGTAATTTCCATTATTGGGAATCAATTATAATATCGAAAGTGCCATATTAAATAATCTTCTCCTAAATATATCACACTCATGATGAAAAATTGGGTCCTTTAACAGCGTAAAACAAAGCAGTAGATTAGTGAGGACAAATATCTCTAACTGACCGAGGAAACTGCGCTCCATGAAAGAATCAATGTTGTTTCTGTAGTGGGATCGCAGAATATTATTCATTTTCGAGTTCTTAAAGACACAAATGAAACGAAAGTCGTGTAATGACAAACGTACACAGGTGTAGGTTTTAAGAAAGCTTTATTCACCTGAGAATACAAGGTTCGCGTATAGTGTCCTATTATAGTCCCAGTAAATAGAAATATCTCCCTCAAAGAGGAGCGTAACAAAACAAGAGGAGACCACTCTTGATTATTCATAACAAGATGCACATTTATATGTTTAGCAGCTAAAATACATCAAGAGATATTTCCTTCAAATTTGCTATGAGCTCTTCAATATATTTTTCTTCTCCTTGATAATGCAAGACCACATAGTTCAACAGTAAAACAGGAAAGAATTTTACAACTGGGTTCGTCTGTTCAACTCCAACCGAGGAGTTAATCTTTCCTTCCGTTAATTTCTACATTTATCAATCGATTTTATAAATCTATCCACGCGAAATTTCTAACCTTCCCAACAAAGAAGTAGTCTCGGTCTTTTTACGATTATTTCATTTAAACCAACGAATTTCTTTGTTTTGTATTTTTCTCTAAGAAACATCTTGAAAGATTGTAATGAATAGAACATCTAAGTTAATAATCCGGTTGAGTATAAATGTGAAAAACAATCTCTTATAGCTTGGATGTGGCACAAGGCCGAAAGTAAGAGGCACCCAGTGAGGATCGAACTCACTACTCAGTCGTAATTGTTCTAGCGAGACAAGATTGCTAACCATTACACAACCTCGAGGTGCCCACAATCTCTTATAATAGTGTGTTGATTAGAAAACTTACATGTGGTCTAGCGTTGACCTTTCATCATTACAAATTACCTCCTACAGACATCGTCTGATGGAATTTTCCATTCGTCAAATTGCAATAAGTACATCGATTTATTTTTTGGATTTTTCGACCTGATAGATATGAATTATCTTCCAATGCAACGAAATATAGAAGATTGCCTTTCCTTGGAGAAAGACTTGTCATTATTTAAAATCTCAGCTCCCCAAAGATTTTTGTTTCACATTATTAGATAAATTAATCATTTTTATCACTCATATCCTTTTGGTTAATTAATCATTTTTTTCACTCGATAGGTTTTTTTCAGACACTTAATATTTAAATGAAGTTAAGTCGATTTTTTACTCATTAGGTGGCCACAAATCAAAATGTTAAATTTAACGAAGTTTGTGTGAGTGTTTTTTTTTTACCAAACCTTTATAAGAATATTTGATTTAGTTGGTGTCTGTCATCATTGATTATTCTCAAGAAATAATATTTGACTCGTAATTTGAATGTCAACAGATCTATCTCGCATAGAAAAATGATCAAGAATCCATAAATTCTGCAGACTATATTTACTGTTTTTTGTAACATTTTCCATGAAATGCGTTAATATTTTTTTTCCTGGGCGAGTGGAAAATTTTTATTTTTCCAACAATCAACATGTATAAAATGCTTAATCAACAGATATGCACTATTTTTTCTTTTTGTCATACGCATAAATCACTTTACAAAGAAAGGTTGTTTTTAAATAACTTCATTTGAGATTAAACGCCTTTATTGTGCTCTAAAGTAAACAAAAAAGAACATTTGGCAACTCATTTAATAGCATATTTATTTTTCTTTCAGTTGGGAGATAAAATGCTTTACATTTATTTTGGGAAATTTCTAATAGAAAAATAAGTACCTACGGTCTATATAATTGATCGACTTAAAAATTTCTCTTTCTCATTTAGGACGCTCAAACTGAATAACTAGATTTATCGAAAAACATTTACAATAAATGCGCTTCATTTCCGATTAAGACATTAATTTTCTTTGATAATTGCTATTTTGATGGGACGTCATGTTTCACCGCGAAGTATTATGTAAAAACGATACCTACTCTGGCGACAACTCGTTATTATAGAACTCTTTCCTATTTATGTAATTTAGCGCATAGTGATGAAAACAGTTGGCTGCCAGTTTCTACAATTTCAGTTTTGATACGTTACTTTTTTAAAAATTATTTTATGATCATATCACATTGAAAGACCACTTTTCGTACGATCACCGTAGTTAAGCAGCATCGAGCCTGGTCTGTAATTAGATGGGTGACCAACTGAAAATACCAGATGTTGTAAGGTTAGGAGCGTGCGAGTGTTGTAATCGATAACTGTTCGGAATGAGAAATCAAAAAGAATTCGAATTCCAATCGAATTCACAATACTCCCTTAAAAAAGACATTAATTCAGATGTTCTCCAACATGCTAATGGGTAAAGAGTAGGACATTTAACAACGATTATTTCAGATACAAGGAAAGGATCTTTCCAAATTTTCGTGGAAGAGAGAGGCTCAGCAAAGCAAACGACAATACCAAATGAATTCTGGGAAGAGTGGAATCATGTGTATATCTATTCTCCTGTAAACGAGGGAGAAAGAGGGAGAGAGTTATACGTTGATGGTTTAAATCATTTTGCTCTTTCAATCATAAAAGATTATAGAGACCAATACGCCTCATTTATCCGGAACGTCTGTTGAAGTGAAGATCAGTCGATATCTCAATTGAATTTCGTATGTGATGCGGCGCTAAAGATCCTGGAAAAATACGTAGTATCTTGTGCAGCTCCTGTAAATAAATCCCCCACCTGTCATACCCTAACTTTGCAAGAGTCAGATCAGACCCCAAAAATGGAGTACCGTTGCTGCATCTAACTGGGCGTACCCAATCACCGCATTCCGAACTTTGACAAAGTTAAAAGCATCGACGCGGCCCTTTTGGTGATAAACTATTTTTAACCATAAAGCCCCTTTCTGGTAAGAAATCACCAACCCGTTTCTTCACTGTCACCATTTCCAGGGCAAATGCTCAGACGAGCGACATTCTTTAGTTCAACCAGTTCAGATATTTCAGAGCAATAAGATAACACCCACGCATACCGAGTCGAATCATCCTCATTTCCTTGGTATTATCCCATTACTAAGACTGAAGTTCCACTCAGAGATCTTCTTCCCAAGAATGTCTGTCTTGTGGAAATGATTTCAGAGAGGATACCTTCCCGATAACTACGATCATAACCTCTTCAATTCTTTCGTTAAATGTTATATATTCTACATATCCTAATAATATTCATGCACTTTATCCTTATATGTCTATCTAAAAACCACATTCAATAACACTCTATATTGAGTGTCACTTAGGCCTTTTATTGAGTAAAAATTTAATTAAAAGAAAAAAAAAGCAGGTAGAGAATTTTGTCTTTAGTGTATTGTCAGTAAATGCTGTTTCTCTCTCCTTCTGTCGGCTTGTACGAGGCAAAGCTGAGAATAGTCAAATATCGACACAGACAGTGACGACATGATAATCTAATCTACTCCGGGATTCTTTGTCTAGAAGAAAAATTATACTGTTTTAAGAGCGAGTAGAAAAAAAGCCGAATTGAAAATTAGCTAAATGCAGCACAATGAGCATATTAATGAAACCGAGTTTTTGTTCTGTACTTAAAATGGAAAATCAGGTTTAAACTGAACTGCATCACTCTCCTCAAAGAAGGAAACCTATTAAGAAATGAAGGTGTGATAACAGACTTACTTATTTCATATTTTATATTTCCCTCGCGGATGGTCGAATTCCAGAATATGACAGTCAGCTGAGGCTCTTAATAAAAAAATAAAAATTTAAAAAAAAAGTGAAGAATTTTATTTAAACTTCCGAAACTTAATGTATAAAATGCCTTATTCAAATAAAAAAATAAGGTAAAAAGTGAAATACAACCAAAGTAACTAACATAGGCAATATTTTCTTTCAAAATGCCGTATATCCCCGTGTATAAACCGACTTTATGTATAGCGCCATCGATGAATGTCTTGTATGAATTTTTAACCACTCCAGAAAAAAATTACCTGTGAAAAGTGCAACCTGTCACTGAAAATGTGTGATTTTTAACCACTTCAATAAATGACCTGTGTATAGTGCGACAACGTCCCCGCCAACACACACTATATTTTTTCGTAAAAAAGAAACTGATCATACAACCCCGCACTATACTCGTGTATTTACAATAAATAATTAATTTATATTCTTTTTTTAATTTTTCTCTGTGAGTACTTATCTGTTTACTCACTGGTAATATTTTGCCCAGCTTGTATTAAATTTCTAATTTAAAGTATTGAAATAAAACGTCATTATTTCTTATTTTATACATAATAAAGAAAAGTCAAAGAAAAAAAGAAAAAATAAGACGATATAAAGAGTGGTCCGAAAGTCTTGTCTTCTAATGTGTAGGAGCTCATGTCAGTCATCTGAAATAGAAAATTATATTATATATAGGGTGATAAGCCTTTCGGACCAACCTGTATATATATGATATATATATATATATATATATATATATATATATATATATATATATATATATATATATATCGGCTTTACAGTAAGATATATTTTCTTTATATTCGAGCTACCTATATCTATCCTCTCCTTTATCTACCTCAGAGCCAATATTTACAAATTATTCATGTATCTTGCGATACATAACTGACGAGGTAGATTTTTTTTTTTTTTACGCAGTAGGTTGACATTTCTTCCTGCGATAGACCACTGCCATCCAAAGATAATTACCCATAGCTGGAAGAAGAAGAGAATTCATACCCTTCGTAAGTGAATGTAATGGATTCGACTGGAATTCGAACTCGGTTCTCCGATTCCTCAAGCCGTGCCTGCTTAGTTCATTGTAAAAAAAAAAAAAAAAAGAATTAAAATTCACATTTTTTTCCCACTGGCTCTAAGTGATCCTATCGTTGATTTTGCTGTTACCTGTCTTTCCGTTAAACTGTTTTGGAAGTGTTGTAATAAACGTCGGAAAAGTGACACCGAAATCAACATACGAGAAACTAAAGAAAATACTAAGAAATAAGAAAAGTTTGTTAGAAGCAAAGTCAATTTTGCTGAAATTCTGTATAATATAAATTCTTTAACATGACTGTTAATTTCCTGAAAGATTTAATGCAATCAAGGTATGCTCCTATAGAAGGATGCTGAGAATACCATGTGTAGAGTATGCAAGCAATTACTAAATTTTAAGTAAAATGTAAACAAAAATGAAAATTATCTTTTGAATCAGAAAAAATGGCTGACCTTTCTGAGACGCATAATGAGAAAATAAAGCTTAGAGCAGGCATGTCATATGCAGAGCATATGGAAGGCCGCGTCGGCCATATCTGCAGCCTCGAGGGCCACGTCTTGCATCAATCACAGTTAGTGGTAACTAAACTTCAAATAAAAAATTCTTACAATACAATACAATACTTAATCATTTTTATGTTGTCCTGATGATTGACATCGCTTTAGACAAACAATTATCGATATATCAGGTTAGAATGTCTGTGTAGATGCCACTTGATCAAAGAAAACAAATGTTCATCAGTTAATTTTGGTCTGTGAGATGTTCTGTGGCCTTCATAAACGGAAATAACTGTTCAATATGTGGGACCAAACATCGCCATAATCTTTGTGACAAACTTTCTGAAGTTCTTAAATGTCAGAAGAAGGTATGAAAAAATCCGCGTACCCCTACTTCTAGGTGCTTTCCCTTGAGTTAGTCTACATTTCCAGTCGTTCCATCTGTAGACTTTCCCCTGCCTGAGCAACATCACAGAATGAATGGTGCTGAGAATAATGCAAACTGACCTTCACAAGATGAAAAACCACAAACTATTTGCCGAAATTTCTTTGACAGCAATTCCAGGTGCCTGCAAAGATAAATACAGACTCAGTATTTGTCAACTCTTTGCACACAGGAAAATAAATCAAGTTTTCATGTGACAACAGGGACTTCAATACAGCTAATTTTCCTTTGAAATACTGGATATCATCATATAACTGAGTGATGAGCTTATTTTTACCTTTTAATTTTATTCGTAATTTCAAATTAAGGTCACTTAATTGGGTAGTAATAACCACGAAAAAATCTCGATCTTGGAGCCAGCTTTCATCTTCCTATTCATATATACTTTGATCCTTCATCCCCCAAAACAAAACTGGGTAACTGACGATGATGCAGAGCACGACCTCTGACATAGTTCACTCTTTTTATGTCAACACATGATCTAATTTTAAAATTTTAAAATATAAGATCATTGATGAATTATACAGAGAAAATGCTTGAATGTTGAATCTGTGTATATGTTTTCTATTTTTGTACCTAACATGGCAGCAACATCATTATGTCTCCCAACCATATTGGTAGCATCATCAGGAGATAAGCACACAGGTTTACTCAAATCTAGACCATACTCATGGAGAAGCTGTTCAAATTTCTCAAAAATGTCCTGGCTTGTAATATCATGCATTTTGACCAGTTCAATTATTTCTTCATAAATTTGAAATTCATCGTCAAAAGCCCTGATAAAATGATGAGTTGTGTTATTCCAGTCAATAGTCTCATCCGGAGCAATAACCTGATACTGTGCTGTGCTGGTCGCGGCGTCAATCGTGACGCCACGAGTCAGTACTGGACGATCTAACCCTTGGCTGGTTCGGATGGAAATCTGGTTTACCACGGAACCATGTGAGACACTAACCCCTCTTGTTGTCTTGGTCGCGGTCGATGTCTGGTTACATTCGATATCAGCTTTGTCGTTCACAGCTCGCCTCCAACGTCTGGTTACCGAAGTAACTGCTTTGATCTCTAGTTTAACCTACCCACGTTGTGATTTGATCTTAGGTAGACAAGATCTATCAGGCGTCGGGCCGTAGTGCAAGCTGAATCCGGGGCAAAGGTGATACCGCACATGTGTATGTAAAAGAAAATAATGAAACAACACAAAAGATTCAAATGTGTTGAAAAAATAACAAGTATCTTTGTATCTGTTTTCTGAATACAGGACTGCGTCTTTCTCCCAAACTGCTTCTATGGATTCGTGACACTTTGCGTTTCTTAGGCGAGTCTTAATATCTTAAGTTGTTTTTCAATAAACTGCATTTTGGTATCTTCAGGCGATATTCGTTAAAACTTGTTTTGGTGGTGTGAGTCTAAGTCGTTCTTCAAAAAAAAAAATTGTTATTGGTTAGAAGTCTAAGTCGGGATGCGTGGAAATATTTCAGTCAGCTCCTGCGGGGCTGGTCTCCGATCTCTAACC